GGGTAGGTGTGTGTGCAGTGTGTGTAGGGTAGGTGTGTGTGCAGTGTGTGTAGAGTAGGTGTGTGTGCAGTGCGTGTAGGGTAGGTGTGAATGCAGTCGGTGTAGGGTAAGTGTGTGTGCAGTGTGTGTAGGGTAGGTGTGTATGCAGTGGGTGTAGGGTAGGTGTGTGTGCAGTGTGTGTAGGGTAGGTGTGTGTGTGCAGTGTGTGTAGGGTAGGTGTGTGTGCAGTATGTGGGGTCGGTGTGTGTCCAGTGTGTGTAGGGTAAGTGTGTGTTCAGTGTGTGTGGGGTAGGTGTGTGTGCAATGGGTGTAGTGTGTGTGTTGTGTATTCTGTGCGCAGCTTATGTGCAGTGTGCGTGTAGTGTGAGTGTATATTGAGGTTGTGTGAGTGTTATGTGGGGGCGTGTGTATGGGGAGCGATAGTGTAGCGGCTAGGGCGCTTCGAACCCAATTATCTGAACCGGTCCTGGGCCTCCCCTAGGTCGACTCAGCCTCAAAATGAGTACCTAGTTTGTAAACATCGCCACTAGAGAGACAAAGGCGTCCAACCGTGTAAGCTTTCATAGATGCCCGCGAACAGCACTTGTCCCAAAGTGGAGGTTGAGGTAATGCAGGTGATCTTTGTCTTTTGGTGTGTGTGTGTAGTGTGGCGGGCACTGGAGGGAAAGGATGTGTTTGTGTATGTAAGTGGTATGTGATGTTTGCCTGTTGTCTTTGTGTTTGTCTGTGTGTATTGCTCGCGAACAGCACTTGTACGGTTGTACCAACAGCATATGTAGGGTACACGGGGGATCTTTGTCGTTGTATGTGCATATCTATACGCATGTGTGCGAGTGTATTCGTGTGTGTGTGTGCGCCCCTGGTATAACTCGGGGGTGTGTACTGTTAAGTGTGTAATTGGTAGGAAGGGCTGTGTGTGTGTACCTGGTATGTGTGTGCGTGTGTGCTCATAAAGAACATTAAATACTTTCCATACCCGGGTGAGTGACAGGCAAGCGGATGCTCGCTTCATAACCCATCGCGCCCAGATCCCTCGACTGTCACCTCGCCGAGGCAATAGCTGTTCATATCACCTCACTGGCAGTTGGAGGCTAAGCCAAGTGGACTCACTGGCAGGTGGAGCCACGAGCAGGTGGATTTGTTTTCCATCTTCTCCTTTGGCTCCACTACGATCATCATTAAAATAACTCCATCTCTGGATCCTGACACCACTGGAAGATATCACCCCATCCCCAGCCTCCCTCTCCTGGGCAGAAGTCCATGGAAGGGTCATTCTCTACCCCCTCCGTCAATCACTCTTCCTGCTTGTGATCTTCATGACCCAGTCACATCTGGTTTCCGTCAAGGCCACTCAATGAAAACAACCCTCTGGAGTGTAGGCAACGACCTACTTTACACCGGACAATGGTCCCCATTCCTTGCTTATTGGAATACACTGCTGGCTTGGATACCTTTGATTATCCCAGCCTCCGTTGAATCCGGCTCCCACCTCTTACGCGTTAATCCCAGTCCTTACAGAGGCTTCCCTCCTCTCATAAATGCCTACGTAATGGTGTTCCTCAATCCACTGCATGTCTTCCCACTTGAAAACATTATGTTCAGCCGATGACACCCATACTCAAGTTGCCGTGCATTCGCCTGATCCTGCTTCACGAGCACATGATTTGTTGCTGCTGCTGTTGCTGCGTTGGCATTGGTGCAAAAGCGCAGTTAACAAAACGTCTCAACACACTCGCCAACCAACACTGTGACCTTACAAGAATACACATCTCTAGAATTGGCAACATTTCAGGCAGTGGCCCTTCTAATGTCACACTAACTACTACCTCACGTGCAGGACTTGGGCGATGTGGCCCTATTCCATCTCATCTGAAGGTTCCTGCAAACATTTATACATATTGATAAATATTCCTAAAGCCGAGGTCCTTCTTGGCAAGCAGCCTCCCCATGCCCTCAGCATTGAACCACCTCGCAGGATTTTCTGACTTAATTCTGACATCAAGTCGGAAGTCAAACATTTAAATGCGCTCTGCAACAATGTTGCTTGTAACACAGTTGTTCAGTTTAACACGTAGGCGTTCGCGACCAATACTATAATAATAGAGGGTGGGGGGGGGGGTTAGATTGCGTTAAACATGCCAATAAGCGCCTGATTGGCTCACAAGTGACGACATCACATTTAATCCCTTTGTTTAAGACCGAAACAGGAGAAGAATTTCTCCACAACTCCGTGGCTGTCGCCTGACGAGGCTGGCTGTAATTACCGGGCGAAACGTCACGGTACTCGAATTGTAAATGTTGTGGAAGGGCTCACCTGGTCCTAATGGGGCTAGAAGGGCTCACCTGGATGTCATGGGGCTAGAAGGGCTTACCTGGTCGTCATGGGGCTAGAAGGGCTCACCTGGTCGTCATGGGGCTAGAAGGGCTCACCTGGTCGTCATGGGGCTGGAAGGGCTCACCTGGTCGTCATGGTGCTAGAAGGGCTCACCTGATCATCATGGGGCTAGAAGGGCTCACCTGGTCGTCATGGGGCTGGAAGGGCTCACCTGGTCGTCATGGGACTATAAGGGCTCACCTGGTCGTCATGGGGCTAGAAGGGTTCACCTGGTCGTCATGGGGCTAGAAGGGTTCACCTGGTCGTCATGGGGCTGGAAGGGCTCACCTGGTCATCACGGTAACCAAATCCAGCATGGCAAATTGCTTTCTATGCACATACCGAAAATGTTAAATCAAGATTCGTTTAGTTTGTGTTTTTTTTTAGAAAGGCAAATAAGACGCTCATCTTAGAACTCTTCTCTAAAGCTTTATTTTTGTATTCTCCTGCCATGAGGCCAGACGGGCCCAGGCCGGCCTTCGGGCCTACCCAGCCCTGCTATCCTTGAACACAAGCCATGTCGCATAAATGTGCAACTGTTGCAAAATATGAATGCTGCGTGCAACATTATAAGAATGCTTAATGTGAAGCCACGCCACAAGGCTGCCCCCAAAAACGTCTCGAATCACTGCCATAGTCCGTGCAGAGCTCGCCTCGCGTCCTCACATCTGTCAACTTCGGCAGGATCTCTTACCTCCTCCATCTGCACACTATCTCTCTTCCTATTCCAGGTTTCCATTTCCCTCCTCCCTCCCCACCCCCATCTGCTGCGACCGAGATGCTGGGTCCACGCCTGCGTCACCGACTGCCCCGTAGTGCTGGCTACCCACGGCTCTGTGGCTCTCCTCTCTACAGCCTCTCTCTCTCCCCTCAGATCCCTCCTCAGACTCTGACGCACCTCCCGCTTCCCTCCCTCCCCACCTATCCTGCGAGGGCGCTTCTGAAACCGCTTCCCCACTCGCTCCCAACTTGAGAGATTCGTTCCAAGACCACCCTCTGTTTTCAAGACCTGAAATGATCTTGCTCTCAACTCCACTCCCCTGCTGGACCACTTCGCTCGGGCAGTCCCCGCGCTTTTGGTGAAACCCAAAGTCATTCTTCAGACTGTGGGGAGGTCACTCCTCCCCTGATTCTCACCACCACCCCCCATCCACCCACCCATCCGCCGTGTCTGGAATTATTTCCCCTCGGTTGTCCACACATCTGATGAACTCCTCCCCCCTTAACTCATTCTTCCACCTTTGCCAACTGAACATTAACGTCCCATTAAACGCTCACTATATTTCCCCCCACCTATCTGCCCTTTCCAATTCCCATATAAAATCGTCACCCATTATTGTTGTCTTATTCCCCCTTTATCCTCTCACCTAAGTCCACCCCACTTGGCCAAACGTTGTTGTTCCACGAATCTGCTCTCGTTGGCGACACGGGGGTGGCGGGGCGGTGACTGCCCGCGCGTGAACCGAGACGGCTCACTGCGCAAGATGCGTTGGCACGCCCCCTGTACACTCAGCCCAACCTCGTGGGTCGCGCGTTATCCTTTTTCTTATGCGTGCACGATTTTTGAGTGCGTCTATTGCGTGGATTGCCTGCCTTTTGGATGCGGGGTCCTGGAGGCGGATCTTGGCTGCTGTACGCTATGATGCGCACGCTGCTCTGGGAAGTTGCACTGTTCGTGGGTCCTGTTATCCGCGACCTATCGTTTGTGCTCCTCTTATCCGTGAACATGTTGCTGATAATAAGATTCACTTAGCGCTTCTGGAAGCTTGCTTCCTAACTAATAATTAATTTATAAAATATGAATAAGAGGGTCAAGTCACCCCACCTGATACCTCTACTGGACATGTGTGAAAAAAGCTTTATAGCTCATTGGATTCCTCTAGTATAAATACACATTCTGATTATGATTATCCGTGACAATGTGCATGCCATCGAGTGAATTAAGTACTTCCCAGGAGATTGCCTGCGGATAAACACGGATGAATGTTCCACATTACTCCTCTTTCTCATAATGTTTTGGAAAATAGGATACTTTTCATAAATAGGCTTTCATATATTTGCCGACGCGACAAGTTGATTTGATTGTTTTCCTTACCCCGTGCAACCGATTAGCATGGTTGGCTACGTATGGTGCAAAAGAAGTTAAACATACATATACATACTATAAGGTGGTGGATTGTCATATTTTAAAATGTACACGACACCTACATGATCTAACCCACCAAACTCAGGATAATAACATTTTGCAGATCGATAAAGGAGCTGCGAGATAACAGTGGATAACAGGGTTGCGGTTGAGAGGCGTTACACTGTAAACTCTAAACAACATCATCGTCACCATCATCATCACCATCATCATCACCACCATCATCGTCAACACCACCATCATCGTCACCGTCATCGTCGTCATCTCACCACCATCGTCACTATCATCGTCACAAGGCACGCAGCCCAGAGCCCTATCGCGTCTATCAAGGTCAGCATCGGGACGGGGTTCAGCGTCCCATGATAGCAGCCGTTACTGCCACGGGACTCTAACCGTGACCTTGACTCCTCCGAGGCAGCGCTCCCACACCTGAGAGCCGCCCGGACGCCGAGACTGAAACCAGGAACACGGCAACTCGGGTGCGCTCCAGACTCTTAACACGTGAGGTTTAATGAGAACCGTTTACAGGTACAAATAAAATACACAGCGTCAGTCAACGTATAAGTTACCTGCATAAATAAAATAAATACGTATTAAATAGATTTTTTGCAGTTACAAAATTATATTTAAAAATGCATTGCATCAACCATTGTTACAGTTCAAAATGAACCTGTCAATTGCTAATGAAGGGAGCCTATCCTGTCATCCAATCGGGGCACGCGACCCTCCGCCCAGCATCCCACACATACAGTACCCCTCCCCCACACTTTGTTCACCTGCACATTGTCACTAAAATACACCTGGACTGCACATAACCTCCCCCCCCCCCCCGCCCTCTACAACCAGGGTACGAATAGAACATCCCACTGGTTGAACCCCTACAGCTGTTTAATGGAACACTTAACTCTCGCTCCCGTCGGGTGAGCCCCCCGTTGGGGGTCTGCGTCGAAGATGAAGGTGGAGGACACAGCGCTGCTAATACTATACACCGAGCTAAATGTACGCTGGCGTGTCACACAAGACCACGATGACGACGACGACACCGAATAGGGGAAGAGTCTTCACAAAATGTACAGCGTGTGCGCGCCTCAGCACGAGTCCCCTTTCCGTCAGGCCGGTCCTCCTCGCTCCGTCTCCACAGCGGGGGGGAGCGGGGGCGGGGGGGTAGCTCCCTCGTTTGCTCGTCCGCCCGAAGGCAGTTCGTTGGTTCGCCGCGTGGGGCTTCGTCAGCGCAGGCACCTGCAGCCATTGGCGGAGACATTCTCCAGCGTCTTCCACTCCAGCGACGAGTCCATGAAGGACACGTCCTCGAAGCCCACGGGCCGGCAGCAGGGCTGCGCGCTACTCCGCGATGCCACCAGGTCACCCTTCAGGTCGAGCAGGTGCTCCAGCACCATCTGGTACATGTTGCGGTCCTGGCGGCAGCTGCCGCCACAGTACTTGAAGCGCAGCGTCTCGTCCGAGTCGTAGCCCAGTCCCAGCTCCCTCACGGTGACCTGCACGACACGCAACCGGCACGACTGGTCGGCCTTGCGGCCGCGGCCACCACCGCCATTGCCGCGGCCACGGCCGCCCTTCTTGCCCAGGCGGCTCCGCCTCTCCCCGTGTAGCGAGCGCTCTGTACGGAGCAGGACTCGCCGAAGGGGCCCGGGGACGCCGGGTGCCCAGCCGAGCCTCGAGTCGTCTTTGGCATGGAGCGGACGGGGCGGAGAGAGGGGGCACGCAGGCATGTGTGAGACCTCGGCGAAGGCCGCAGGCCACTCTCCTCGCCGCACACACCACGCTCCTCACCACGCACGCTCCTCACCATGCACAACGCTCACCAGCCCTAACACCCTTCACGAGACAAAGCACTCATCAGCGATAACATATTTCACCACTCACACACTGCTCACCACCTCTCACCGGCACTTATACCCTTCATCGCACACCGCTCACCAGCACTAACACCCATTACCACTCACCGCTCGCACACCGCTCATCAACTCTAACCAGCACTAACACTCCTCGCTACTCACATCTCACCAGAGCTGCCGACCCTCTGTTATTAAACTGGGTTCTCAAGTCCAGCAAGCTGATGGCATCCACCCAGGTCACTGATGACTACACAAAAAAATGTTCATGCTAAATTTGGGTTGCACTTAGCTAACTTCTACTCACGCTGTGACCATCATGCGACAAACCTTGTAGAACAAGAAGGGATCTCAGAGGTAGCACTGTGATATCCGCTTCCGTCGGCTTTTTTTGCATAGATTGTCATTATGCTCGTTCACCCGGGAAAGCCCTCACACTGAGACTCGATACTTTTTCAGGAGGCTCCTGTCAGGTTGTTGTAGTAGAGGGAGCGATGCTGCTGCTGTCCCTGTATGTCATCCCAATTCAGAATTTTAAAGGGTTTTTTTTTCATTTTGGGATGTTTTGACTAATACCGGTTACGCTGGACGTTTTACATATATAATAAAACATCTATTTTAGCTGCAAAAGATGGCAACTGCCGTACTATAAATATAATTGATTCCCTCAACGCGTTACAAAATGATAGCAACCAGCGGGATTGTAATGCTCTTCACATGGACAGACATCTCCACCAGCAGCGGCGTATACATCTCTCCTTCTGAACCCAACACGATAACAACAGCAACGACACCACCACACGACCTGTAACAACAACAACACGATAACAACACCACCGCCACACGACCTGCCTGTACATTGCATCTTAATGTCGCTGCATGTTAAATGCCTTACGAATGCACGAATTAAACAATTTGATTGCAGTATTTAAACAAAATCCAATTGTGAGTTAACAATAATAAAAAATAAGTGAGAAGTAACCGGGGAGTACAAAGAGAATAACTTTTCAATTACAGGAGGTAGTTGTTCAGCCGGGACTTAAAACGTCTCCATTGACTACGGGTTCCTAACTTCCAAGGACAGGGAATGCCAGAAGCCTGGGTGCTGTACAAACGAAAGCCCCATTACTCCAGGTTCGCACCTTGGGAGCACGGTACACCGAGTAGGGCATGATCGGTCGATGTCAAGAGATGACATGACAATTTTTTAGTGCTAAAAAAATATAAACTATTTTTTATTTTACCAGGTAAGGCCCATTGAGCTATTTTGCTCTTTTTCAGAAGCAACCTGGCTATCACAAATGATAGCTCAACGAAGTGGCTTATCATGTGGAAATTTATAGCAGCCAAATAACTGTAAACGGATGTTGATTATAAATGTGAAGGGAAAAACCAGAGGACTCGTAGAACAATCAATGCCACCACGGGGAGAGAGACATGCAAACTCCAAATATACAGCAGGCATCAGAGTCGGGATAGAACCCACGACCTCCTGTATGCCAGGCGAGGCAGAATATATATTGCCACTGGGGCCACCAATGCAGAGTTGACTCATGAAGCTAATGCAGGGTTGAATAGTAAACAGTGACCTCCCTCCCACTGAGCCAGGTCCACCCTGGACCAGTGCAGGCATCACTTGCCACCGATGTTAGCAGCGGCCAGAAATCAAAACTTTTAACACCTCAAGAGTTCATAGCTCCACTCCTGTGTATACACGTGTGTTTGTCTATGGGTACGTATGTATAGATGCACACACACACACACACGTATACATGTGTGTGTGCGTACGGTATTATGTGCTAGAGTAGTGGAGTGGTTAGCGTACCGCGCTACAAACGACCCGAGTTCGATTCCCACTCACAGCCGGACATCAGTGACAAATATCTGAACCAGTCCTGGGCATCCCCTTAGGTCGATTTAAAAATGTGTATCTAGCGTGATGTTTCATAAACACTAGCAGTGGGGAGACAAAGATGGCCGGGGCGTGGTACTCGCCATACCACGCCTTCTCGTATGCATTCCCCGGCCTTCATGGGTTCTACTCGCGAAGTGCCCTTGCCCCGACGGACTGCTAGAGGTGGCATCTCTGAGTGGGCACGCATAACGTTCTGTCGGCGCGCCACCTCGAGGTGACGCGCTGGGTTTGGCAGTTGAAGGGGGATTCTCATGCTCGGCATTGTGAGGGAAGGGGACAAAGTGGGTGGACGGGTAGGTGGGTGGATGAGTTTCACTGACGTCACCCAGGGCTCCGCTTTGCTCTCACCGCCACACGCGACGTCACCACGAGCCGGGGGGACAGGTGCTGCGTTTAGAGTGGTAATGGGGTGGGGGGTTGTGCCATTGCACACCGATCGGCGCGATCGGCACGGAGCGACGCTGGCGAGGCAGAGTAGCCGCCGGGTACGGCACGACGGCCCGCGCCCAAGTGGCCGCCGCCGCACCGGGGGGGCTGCCCTCATGGTCACCATGGAGGTACCCCCCTCCTCCCCGCGATTGCTACGAAGCAGGGGCGGGGGGTTTCGCCAATTTGGTTGATTTGGAGGCGGCTCACCGAAATCTTAGGAAAGGCCCACTGAGCTATGTAGCTCTTTTGTCAGAAGCGACCTGGCCAATCGCAAACGATAGCTCAACGAAGTGGCTTATCATCATGAGGAAATTCATATCAGCAGCAAAATACTCTGAACGTGTGACGTTGACTTCAAATGTGGAGGGGAAACCGGGAGGACCCGGAGAAAAAATCCACACGACTACACGCAAACTTCAAATATTCAGCAAACGTCAAGGTCGGGATCGAACCCACGACCTCCTGTATACCAGGTTTCAAGTTTCAAGTTTTCAAGTTTTCAAGTTTCATTTATTAGGTATAGCCCTGTGAGCCATGCGGCTCTTAAGTCGCGTGCAACAAACATAATTTTAACACAGAACATCTTAAAGCGACAACGCGTAACAGAAACATCCTGGAATAAACCAGCAAATATTCCACGCAAAAAAAACGTATTAAAACGCTGTGTGCAAAAATCAATGTGGTGCAAACCAACAACAACAACTATAAGACAATTTAAGACCAGGTGAGGAAGATAACATCTCCTAGCCACCGTGGTGCCTCCCTGTTGTTCACCACCACCACCACATCTAGTGTTCCTCTCGCCGTGGCTGTGGCTATGAGTCACCAACTGCAGCCTAACAACCAACGAAACTGGAAAGTATTCCGTGACGAATGGAAGCCCTGATTGAGAGAGTAAGCGTCTGACATGGAACAACGGCAGTGGGGAAGATTAAGGGTGGGGCACGGGGGTGGTGGAGGGGGGGCACGTGGGGAGGACGCAGGGGTCTCGTTATCTCCCCCTTAAACTCCAGTGCTCGTGACCCCCCCCCCCCCCCACCACGGGCCAAGGGTCACCGGTCTTCATCAGTCAAACACAACAGACGTTCTTAACACACCGCATTAGCCCGACGATGAGGGTGGCAACGATTGTGTAGCCACCCTGGGATATGGCAAGGTGGCTGGAGACTCAGACTGGATTTAGCACCTACTTTATTTCATTTTAAAATAATTTCTCAACGAAACTAAGAATAATCTAAATTTCAGATGTTACACCGGGTGTATTTCGCATCTCAAATCTCTTTGATTCAATTATAATCCGCTATCAATTCAACATGCTCCAAAAAACACGTTAAAATATCAGTATGAATAAACGATTTCAATTGGCCATTTGTTTTACGTGTCTTTGTCAACTGCATTTAAACAGTTATTTGACCATCAATTTTTATTAAGCTAATAATTAAATACATTTGTTTTTTCTGAGTAAAACACTCAGCAATTTTTGTTAGGTGTGACACTGTCCCTACTTTACTCCGTAACCTTTCAACCCAATCATTTCGTCTTGTCTTACTCCACACCCGGGACGTGAATTACTGCTCCAGACTCGCGGCCTCAGTGATGATGAACACCACCAAAACAAAAAGTCAAAGATCTCCTGTATAGCCTCTATTAGACTGTCGGGGCAAATGCTGTTAGCGAGTAGCGCCTATGAAGGGCACATGAGAGGTGGGTGGTCAGCACCGTGTCCGGCCGCCTTTGTCTCCCCAAGTGGCGATGTTGACACACTGCAACAGCTACTCATTTGAGGCTGAGTCGACCTAGGGGAGGCCCAGGACCGATTCAGAAAATCGTCACGAGCGTTGGCCATGAGCGGGAATCGAACTTAGGTCGCCGGGTTTGTAGCGCAGCATAGCATTAACTGTTGGACTACCGCTCCCCACATGAACACCACCACCTCCACCACAACCACTACAACCACCACCACCACGACCACCACCACTATGACCAGCATCACCACGACCACCACTATGACCACCACCTCCCACGACGGCTTCAGGAGAGGGACTCTGCTCTGACCTGTGAGCGCGCCATCAGCAGCACGGGAATGCACCCGTGGGGCCCCATGGCCGAACACGGTCATTAGGCTGTCTCTGATGGGGGTCACATGGCTGATGGGCAGGGTCACATGACTGATGAGGTCACACGACTGTCTACTTTAGGGATCACGTGACTCTCTCGGACGAAGT